TTAATAGATACAAACGATACATATTAGGATTGCTATTAGAGTTCGGTACTGCTTTCATAATATTGGCTGTACAGACTTTCTAAACTCTTACACTTCTTCATTATTCCTCAGAATAAATTGCATTCCAAACACAAAAAAAAAAAAAAAAAAAAAAAAAAAAAACATTACTGAGTAGTTTAATCCACTTTTATTTGTAGATATACGTATAATATGTTTTTTTATAGCAAAATGTATAGAAAACATTCTCACAACAATTGAACTGTTTTAGTTTGTCATGTCACATGTCACAAAAAAGCTGAAAATATTTCACAATAGCTCGTTTTCCAACTGCAAAAGTGCACCTCTACCTATGCATGTATTTGAATGCACTCTCGTTATGACCACAAATTCCAATGTGTAAACATACCATTCTGTGTATAATGCTGTTTATTGGTCGAACAGACACTAATCCTTTCAAATTAAATAAACAGAAATTAAGTTTAAATCTGTATATATACATATATATGTATACGTATACGTATATACATATGTATATATCTATTTACATATGCACATATGTATATTTGTGAACGAGTATACACAGGAAGGAGAAGCCTTCTACGCGCAAACTGATCTATCGGCAAACTGCCGAAGAATTGTTGATAGCGATAGTACTCGCAATATGTGGCTAACGTATACATATATGTACGTATTAGTATATACAACGAGGCTTACCGAACATACATATACCTACTACTAATATATATATATATATATATATATATATATATATATATATATATACAATCATATTTGTATTAGTGGTAGGTTCGAGGTGAGGGTTCGTTTGTTCACCAAAAATATATATTTATGTACAACAGCAAATGCTTTCAAATAAAATGATCATCAATCTAAAAGAGAGCGATATACGAACAGACGCATTAACAAATATACATACACACAAATATATGAATATGTATGTATGTAACTAACATTGTATAAGTGGGCATATCGAAGAAACTTTTGTAGATAAGCTTAGAAACTTTTGAGAATTGGGCAGTTTTCGACCAAACCTGCCGCCTTCCATATATGCGGCACTCCCAAATACCGTTCACTACTATTCCGTTTATTTTTCTCTCCTAACCAGCCCCAGTCAGTGAACCAACACGCAGAGATAAAGTTGATAGCACTATCTTATCTTAGAGCATTGAATCATGCATACACATTCAGACACACATACATACATACATTGAGCACACATACACACACATAGACACCCCTCCCCCCCTCCCCACCACCATACCAATAAACTTAACTCACGGGCATTGGCGAAATCGTCAGGTAACTCACACGAGAGCTCAATCATTTGAGTAAACTTGCCCATTACCTGCACATTGGAAGCGTTCGTTCAAGGAATCGCACATATAGGGTATATACATATATATTTAACATGTGGCAACATGAAGAGTAGTCCGCAGCCTTATCTCACATATTACGGACGCTCGATATCGAGCTATACTTTGTTTGAAATATGACTACAACATATTAAGTAGATGGGCATTCACAATCTGTAAATGCTAAACAAACAAGTAAGAAAGCTCTAGTCGAGTGGGCTCGACTACGAGACCCCCTGAACCTTTCGAGCAATAGATATTTCAATCATTTTTCGCGTCTTTCTGCTTACACATGACACACGCACACACACACACGCATACACACACACATACACGCACACAAGCACCCACGCCTAAACACGCATGGTCTGCAGTCTGTGCTTGCTATAAGAACTTAATTGCTTAATAACTATTTTTGTGAACATACGATCTTCATGAAAATTTCATATTATGATTATAATATGTTTTTAGTACTTGAAATACGCCTTTTAAAAAGGTGAGGGTGAGGGGGTGGATATAGGGGTAGGGGGTGAATCACAACAAAAATCGAAATTATATAAAATACATATAAGTCTACATTTAAAATTTGCAAGCTCTAGCTCTAAAGGTGTAGGAGATATAATTAAATAACAAGCTTTCGATAAGGTTTTTGATCGATAATAAAATATCGGGAGTAATTATCGATATATAGAGAAAAACTCGATATGCGCGTGCTATACACGGACCTAGAAAAAAAATTCAAGTTTTCGATTCGATTAAAAACGTTATCGAAAACCAGTAATAAATTTATATCTCCTACATCTTTTAAGCTAAAGTCTCCAAATTTTTTATGTATACTTATATGCATTTTATACAATTTCGGTTTTAATCAAAATTTACCCCCCACTCCTAATTCACCCCCTCACCCGCACATTTGTAAAAGGCGTATTTCAAATAGTAGAGACTTGTGCTTTGGCAAATACATACATATCTATGATATAATCATAATCTAAAAGTTTCATGAAGAAACTACATTCACAAGAAAAGTTATTGAACAATTAATTTCCCTTAGTAAGCCACCACTGCAGCCAATGCGTCTTTATGCGTGCGTCCGTATCTCTCTGTGTGTGCGTGTGTGTGTGTGTGTGTGTGCGTATGATGTGTGTGTATATGCCTGTGTGTGTAAGCGTGTGTGTGTGTGTGTGTGTGTGCGTGTGTGTGTCTTGTGTTAGCAGAAAGACGCGAAAAATGATTGAAACAGCTATTGCTCGAAGGGTTCAGGGGATCTCGTAGTCGGGCACTCTCGACTAGAGCTTTCTTACTTGTTTTTTATACCCTGAACGCATTTTCAATGGGAAATCAGGGTATAATGGTTTTGTTGAAATGTATGTAACAGGGAGAAGGAGGCGTGGCAGACCCCACAAAGTATATATATTCTTGATTAGGGCGACGAGCTGAGTCGATTTGGCCCTGTCCGTCCGTCTGTCCGTATGTTTGAACGCGTCGATTTCCGAAGATATAAGAGCTAGAGACTTAAATTTTTTTTAAATGACCGTATATACATCGCGGATGCCGAGTTTGCTTTTAAAATTCGATAAATCATCCCGTTATGTTTTTATCGAATGAAAACATTCAAGTTCAAGTCAGATGCCAGCATAGCTAATTGTGAATGATTTTTCATTTTTTAATTTTTTTCAAGTATTCAATAAAATATGTAGATCATATGCTGAAAGTTTCATTAAATTCCGTTAAGTCAATCGACGGTAAAAAATAATAAAATGTTTGGCCAGTTAACAAACGCACGTGCAACAGCTAGCACATTCTTAGAATCACATCAGCTGTTAGTTTGGTATAGTTTTGCTAGATGGCGCTGCAGCAGTGAATCTATTTCAGGTTTGTCAATGCAGCTTCTAGAAATGAGGTGGCGTAGTGAGTAGCGGCGTGACGCTCGATCGAGAAGTCGCGAGCTCGAATCTAGAGCGCGCAGCTGAGATTAGCTCTTTTAATTGTTTCAAAATATTTATATTTTTAATTAAATGAGTTTTCTATCTGTCCAATATTTTTAAATACATCGAAATTGAAATTTTAACCATACTACATTTTTATTAGTTTGGGTCAGGGAAGTATCTAGTCGAGCACTCTCGACTAAAGCTTTCTTACTTGTTTAAATATGTTTTTGGCGACTCGTAGTCATTTCTTCATCCTCCGCAAGTCGTATCATAAGTTTTACAATATATATTTAAGTTAAGCATATTAATATTCATTGTATTGCGTAGAATTGTTTTCCAAGTATTGACCTGACAAAAAGTTCTTTTCACTTGCGCGTTGGACCATGGCAAGGAAAGCAATGCCATTTCAATAGTAGCCAAGTCCCTGAATTTTTCAACCCAAAACTTTATAGTTAAAAACCTTATCGAAAATTTGTTATTTAATTATATCTCCTACACCTTTAGAGCTAAAGTTTCAAAATTTTATATGTAGACTCATATGTATATAATTTCCACCACCTCACCCAGTGTATTTCAAATACTAGAGACTTGTGCTTTGGCACATACACGTACTATAATTGTATGCTTACGATCAGAAAGTCTCAGAGCATAGTCTATCAACAAGAAAACTTATTAAACAATAAAGTTTCCATAGTAAGCCCACACTGCATCCAATGCATGTTTATGCTTGCATCCCTTTGTTGTTCTGTGTGTGTGTTTCTTGTGTAAGCAGAAAGCCGCGAAGAATTATTGGGAAATATAAATTCTTCGAAGGGTTCAGGGGATTTCGTAGGCGAGACTGCGCGACGTAGTCGAGACTGCCCAACGTAGTCAAGACTGCCCGACTACGAGATCCCCTGAACCATTCGAGCAACTGATATTTCAATAATTATTCGCACATGCACACACACGCGCACATACACAGACATACACACGCACGCATAAACACACACTGGCTGCAGAGGTGGCTTACTATGGGAACTTAATTGCTTAATAACTTTTCTTATGGATGGACTATCTTCATGATTTCATCACTTTCACTTTCATATTATGATTATAACATAGATATGCATGCATTTGCCAAAGCAAAAGTCTCTTGTATTTGAAGTACGCCTTTTACAAATATGTGGGTGAGGGGATGAGTATAGGGGTGGGTGGGTAAATTTTGACAAAAAACGAAATTCTTTAAAATATATATGAATGTATATTTAAAGTTTGGCTACTTTAGCTTTAAAGATGTAGCAGATATAAATTTATTACTGGTTTTCGATAATGATTTTAATCGATAACAAAATAATGGGGCAAGTTATCGTTTTTAAAGCGAAACTCGATATGCGCGTGGGACACAAGGACCTAGGAAAGGTTCTAGCTCTTATATCTTCTGCCTGTTGCATACTTTTAACAAAACCATTATGCCCTGATTTCCCATTTTCAATGGGCTCGGGGTATAAAAACAAAATATATATTAAACGTATTTTATAGCATATTATCTATAAGCAACGCGTTATTCATAAGTGCGAAACAGCTCGTGTCAAGAATTTACCTTTAATTTTACTTCTGACAAGCTATATCTAATCTATAGCTGAAGTTAATCTGAAGTAAAGATTCAATGTATACATGACCATTGTTCTAATGCATGTTTCTTTTTGTATTCAAACTAAATGTAATTATAGTTCCATACAGTGTACACTTTCCTCTAAAGGACATTTAAGCGGTGGATGTCGTTTGTCAACAGGATATTTAATTATATAATTGAGGAGAACTATATAGGGCTAGTCTGGGCTACGGCATAATTGTTCCCAGTAAGGGTTGGTATCAATAAAAAGCTAAAATTCGTTATACATTTCGATTAAAAAAGAACTTTGTTACCGAATTTTAGTCAAACTTTAACATAGAAAGATAGTAGACGTGCGTTGCCCATTAAGCTATACGATTTTTGAGCATATGAAAATTCAAGAGTGAGCAAATAAAAGCATTAACTTCATAATGAAGCGCTCCAGAGAGAAAGAACCGTTACGCATTACAATTGGATCTACGAATCATCAAATGAAATTGATCTTAAACCGCGTGCGAACGACCAAGTACACGTGGCTAACCTTTGTCCCCCTAAACTTCTACGAACAGTTCCGTCGAGCCGTCTATTTCTACTTTCTAATAATAACGATTATATCGTTTTTCGTTAGTATGTCAGAGGTGCCCATATGCTTCAAACACAATGGATACTAACACATACATGTTTTTAATCCCAATGTAGATGATACTATATCTCCATGGACATCACTGCTGCCGCTGCTGTTCGTTATGATAGTGACTGCGCTGAAGGAAGGTATAGAGGATTATTCGCGATCGAAAAACGATAGAAGTGTTAATTCAGCCAAAGGTTTGACCACTTACAATCTTAATTCCTATGTAATGTATGTATTGCTTATTGCTGTGTAAATGTAAGGAACGTGTGAAGGGGGCGAGATACATAACTATCATCAAGTATGCAAATAGTAAATCGGGATGATATCCGTCAAAAGATAAGTTAAAAATTTGATTGGCATGTCATACTTGCGCTCTGAAATGAATAAACTTGTTAAGCTAATATACCCAGCATTGCACCAATATTCCGTGAAGTATTACTGATATAGGACGAGCAGGAGTTGTTGCCACGTAATGAGATGATCGTCCTTATCTGCGTATGGACATATGTATAGGTGTCTCGAAGTCGAACAGTCCCTGCTAAAGCACTCTTTTTTTGTTATACGCTGAACCCATTTTCAATGGGAAATCAGGGTATAATGGTTTTGTTAAATGTATGTAGCAGGTAGAAGGAGGCGTGGCAGACCCCATAAAGTATATATATTCTTAATCAGGGTAACGAGCTGAGTCGATTTAGCTCTGTACGTCTGTCCGAATGTTTTCCTGGGTCCGTGTATAGCATGCGCATATCAAGTTTTGCTTTAAATATCGATAACTTGTCCCGTTATTTTGTTATCGATTAAAAACATTATCGAAAACTAGTAATAAATTTATATCTCCCACACCTTTAACGCTAGGGTCTCCAAATTATAAATGTATACTTTTATGCATTTTATACAATTTCGGTTTTCGGAAATTTACCCCCCACCCCTGAGTGTATGCTTGTGTATGCGTGTGTGTGAGTTTGTGTGTGTGTGCAGAAAGACCCGAAAAATGATTAAAATAGCTATTGCTCGAAGGGTTCAGGGGATCTCGTAGTCGAGCAGTCTCGACTAGAGCTTTCTTACTTGTTTTATTATGCTACAGTGACCGTTATACGCAATGGAAAGGAACAGTGTATCGATTCGGAATACGTACAACAAGGCGATCTGGTGGTAGTGACTAGTACGAGCTACGTTCCATGCGATTTGGTATTGCTTTATTCGTCTTCGGCAAGGAACATCTGTTTTGTGAACACGGCGAACTTAGACGGAGAAACGAATCTTAAGCCAATCTTTGCACCCACTAACTACACTTACGATTTGGGAGACATTGTTAGCCACTTAGTTCACATCATCTGTGAACGGCCAACTCCTGATCTCTACAAATTCAATGGACGTATAGAAACGCACACAAATGGCACAGATAATCCTGAAGTAATACCATTGACAATTGAGAATCTCTTGTTACGTGGTGTACGCATTCGGGGACCAGATCGTGTGGTGGGTTGTGCCATTTACACAGGGATGTTCACAAAACTCCAACTTAACAGCCGCTATACGGGCAACAAATCCGCCTCCAGTGAGCACTACATCAATAAATTCATTATAGCTCTGATCGTAGGAATGGTAGTTGTTGTCCTTATACTCTACCTAATGGAACGGTAAGCATATACATTTTTTGAAAACTTACTCGATGGGCTAGAAAGGGCTGACCTTTTTATAATAATGGTATAATGGTTTTGTGAAAAGTATGTAACAGGCAGAAGGAATCATCTCAGACCCCATAAAGTATATATATTCTTGATCAGGACGACGAGCTGAGTCGATATAGCCCTGTCCGTCTGTTCGTCCGTCCGTCCGTATGAGCAAATGGATCTCAGAAGATATAAGAGCTAGAGAGCTGAAATTTGGCATGCATACTCGTGTATACCATAGGCAGTACAAGTTTGCTTTATTTTTTCGATAACTTGTCCGATAACTTTTTTATCGAGAATAATCGAAAAATCGACATTGTTTTTTCAGCTTAGATCTGCGTTGTATATAAAGTTAATAGATACAAAGATTTTGTAATTTACAGATTTTGGATACCACGCCCCCTTCTCCTTGTGCTTTGGAATGTACACACATATTCACCATATGATTACACTATGAGAGTTTCATTAGGATCGTATGTCTACAAAAGAAATTATTCAACAAATAAATTCTCATAATACTGCCCACACTGCAGTGCAGCCCAAGCGCAGCCGCTGCTAGCTGCGCAGTTTGCAGAGCGCGTGCTTATACGTGCATGTGCATGTATGTGTGCATAAAAGAAGTCCAGAATGATTAGAATATCAGTTTGGAGGGTTCAAGGTATCTCCTAGTCGAGCAGTCTCGACTGGAGCCTTCTTACTTGTTGCTATGTGCGATTGTGTCAAATTAATTTTTACTGCCATAAATAATTAGTAATTTTTCAACATTAATGAGCAATCATTTCTTTTTACAATCATTTTTTGTCGTACCGAATAATTATTGAATGCTCAACAATGCCTAAAGCATGAACAATTTTCGTATTTTACTTGAATAGTTAATATTAAGCTATTCTCGTGTCAAATGGCAAAGATATCTCTTGTCCCTAGCAGAGAAGACTTTTTGGGAGGCAGATTAGTTAGAATAATTAAAATAAAATGTCCTACGATCTGTCACTAGGTCTTCCTTATCTCGCAATTCTTAACACTTAAGAAAATATATTTTGACAATCAAACTGGCCAGTGTTTGTAAGTTGAAAATCAACATTTTTGTGTAAGTATCTATATACACTTATTTTTATTTTTAGCCAAAAAGTATCAGAAGTTTATCCGACTATTTACTATTTGGGACCCCCCATTGAGTACAACGCGATTTGGCAAATCTTTGAGGATTTCTTATCATTTTTAATTCTATTCAACTATATGGTGCCTATTTCAATGTATATGAATATCGAACTATACCGAGTTTTCGGCGCTCTTTTTATGAGATCCGATATTCATTTGTACGACGAGGAAACCGATCAGCCCTGTGGAGTGAATGCGTCCAATTTGAATGAAGATCTTGGTCAGATCAACATATTATTTTCAGATAAAACTGGAACTCTAACAAAAAATCAAATGATCTTTCTCAAGTGCTATGTCAATGGACATAACTACGTTTTACAAAATAGTCAATTGTATTGCCCCGATAGAGACGAGATCTACGAACTAGGCGCAATGGATGTAAGTAAGACTGAATCTTAACCCATTTTTCAATCTAATGCAAATCTATTGATGCTCAGGCCGATGTGAAGATCTTATTTGAAGCGTTAGCCTTATGTCATACAGTGGAAGTAATGTCCAGCTCTGATGATAAATCAAACGAAACTCAATCGGAAAAGGACAGCTTAGTAACTACAGGCATCATTGACAGATATCAGGCATCTAGCCCAGACGAGAAGGCCATACTCGAGGGCTGCGCTAAGTTGGGTTTAATTTTTGAGGGCACAGATAACAACTCAATGCGTCTCAGCCGAATCTTTAACGGTCAAAATTATGGCGTTGTGCAATACGAGCGCCTTCATGTGCTCGAGTTTAGCTCGGAGAGAAAACGCATGAGCATTATTATCCGGGATGAGATGGGCGTTATTTGGCTGTATAGTAAAGGTGCTGAAGCGTCCATACTACCACGCTGCAAGCCAACATCGCCTACTACGGAAACTGACGTCCAAATAACTCAATATGCCAAAGAGGGTCTTAGGACCCTTGCTGTCGCCAGGCGCCGACTGACTGAAGATGAATTTGTCACATTCGTTGCATCATGCAAAGAGGCCAGCATTCAACTCACGGATCGCAAAGAACTTCTTGCACTATGTTACGAGACCATTGAAGTGGGTAAGTGTGATATATACATGTATCTATATATGTGCATTTCTTCAGAAAGGTCAACCACAGCCAAAACATTCAAAGTCAATGAAAGTATGTTCTGGTAACATATTTATTATAACTAATCTATCAAATTTAACTAATATAAACTAATTTTACCTCTCGAAATATTCACACACAAAGACGAACAAGTGAAAAAGTTCTGCATTGTGCCTTTTTATTGCACATATTGCTATTATTGTTCTTAAATAGAGACACTATGCAATGAAATATGATAATTTTAATTTGCTCTATTTTATTATATTTAATAAATCGAATATATATTTCTAATGCTTTTATTCACGTATAATTTCATAAAAAGTACAACAAAGAAAAACAAGTAAGAAAATTCTAGTCGAGAGTGGTCGACTAGATACTACCCTGAACCCAACTAATAAAAATTTCAATTACGATGTATTTAAAAATATAAATGAAATACAAAACTCATTTAATAAAATATAAAATATTTTGAAACAATTAAAAAAGTTAGCATCAGCTGCATCCGCTCGGGATTCGAACCCGCGACTTCTCGACCGAGCGACCAACTCGACCAACTCACTACGCCACCTCACTTTCGGAAGCCGCTTTGGCAAAACTGAAATAGATTCACTGCTGCAGCGCCATCTGAAAACTCATTTATCAAAATAAAAAATATTTTGAAACAATTGCAAAAATCAACATCAGTTGCACCGATCGGGATTCGAACCGCGACTTCTCGATCGAGCGTCATTCCACTACTCACTACGCTACCTCACTTCTGAAAGCTGCGCTGGAAAAACTGAAATAGATTCACTGCTGTAGATCATATGCTCTAGAATAAGTTTGATATTGCACACGTATACGATGCTGTTGTAGCTGCTGCACGTGCGTTTGGTAATTGGCCAAATATTTGATTATTTTTAATTAATTTTCGACTTAATGGAATTTAATGAAACTTTCAGCATATGATCTACATATTATATTGAATATTTGAGAAATTAAAAAAAAAATGAAAAATCATTCACAATTAGCTATAGTGGTATCTGACTTGAACTTGAATGTTTTTATTCGATAAAAACATAACGGTATGATTTATCGAATTTTAAAAGCAAACTCGGCATCCGCGCTGTATATACGGTCATTTAAAAAAAATCACGTCTCTAGCTCTTATATCTTCTGAAATCGACTCGTTGAAACATACGGACAGACGGACGGACAGATAGACGGACAGGGCTAAATCGACTCAGCTCGTCGTGCTGACCAAGAATATATATACTTTATGGGGTCTGCCTGTTACATACATTTAACAAAACCATTATACCCTGCTTTCCCATTTTCAATGGGTTCACCCTGAAAAAAACAAAATTATGAAGATGTGCACATTGCCTAATGATTTGAAATTATTTGTAATAAATTGTCTCTTAAGGTTCCGCTAAAATCTGAGGTTGAACTGTTCAAAAGCGACTTACGTTTATTGTAGCGTGCGAACCTCTTGGTTTTTTGTAATTATTTTCAAAACGAACATTTGTGTTTTTTACTTAACATACGGACGAATAACACATTCGACAGTAGAGAATCGCCCGTATGTATCTATATATAAGTCAGATTCTCAATAACATTTGCTTCTCAGAGTTACGATATCCGACATTTCTTTTCTTGATTTTCTACTTCAGATTTCGATCTGCTGGGCGCAACGGCTTTGGAAGACGCACTCCAGGATGACGTTGATAAAACGTTAATCGCGCTGCAGGAAGCTGGCTTAAAGATTTGGGTCCTTACAGGCGATAATGTGGAAACGACATTCTCCATCGGCAGAGCCTGCAAGCATATACCGGAAATAGCCGAGGTGCACTTTCTTATCAATATAACCGTATGTGAAGCACTGCAAAAGCGGTTGAATCAGATAGAACTTGGCATAACATCAGCTACATCGAAACCCACGTGTCTAGTCATCGATGGTATAACGGTATCCGCCCTACTCACGCATTTGCCGGAACAATTCACTGATGTGGCCCTCAAGTGCAAGGCCGTGCTCTGCTGTCGTTTGAGCCCTCTGCAGAAGAGCGAAATAGTTATGCATATAAAGAGGTCGAGCCAGCACATTACAGCAGCCATTGGTGATGGCGCCAATGATGTGTCCATGATCCAGGAAGCTCACATTGGTATTGGCATATCCGGGGTGGAGGGCAAGCAGGCAGCCCGCAGCGCTGACTATGCAATAGCCAAGTTCTTTATGCTACAACGCCTGCTCCTAGTGCATGGCCATTACAATAATGAACGATTAGCGTTTATGGTGCTTTTTTACTGCTACAAGAATCTGATAATCACAGGTTGCATGGCTCTGTTTCAAGTATACGATCTGTATTCGGCGACATCTGTCTATAACGAACTTTTCTTGTGGCTATTTGATATAATTTACATATCCTTTAGCTTCACGTATTTGGCCATGTCCGATAAGCATTATAGTGAGAGTACATTGTTGAGGTGAGTTAAATGCGCTGACATCCAATAAATAGCATTTTATAGTTCTATTCGATTATCAGATTTCCAACATTATATAAAGCAATCGCACACAACAAGCTGACCTCGTGGAAGTCATTTCTAATGTGGATTTCAATCGGTGCCCTTCAAACTGTCATCATTTTCTACTTTGCATATGCCATTTTGTATGACAATAATATCGTGTTCAACGAAGGACAAACTGCAGATTTCTCAACTTTTGGAACTATGCTTATAATGGTACTCGTAATTGTAGGTAATTTGAAGGTATTGCTAGTCTCACACTACATGAGTTACCTCAACTTTGCATTTATTATTGCATCGATTCTTGCATTTATATTAAGCACTTACCTTTATAATTTAGATAGTAGCAGTACCCTATACTATGTGTACAACATGTTTTTGAGTTCGCTTCCTATCTGGCTATATATTATTATTTGTACGATAGTATGTCTGCTACCTGACTTTTTGATGAGAGCCATTAACGACATGTTTTTAGATAAGCCCGAGTCAACATTAGTAAATCTTTAATCAATAACTAAACAAATCTTTAATTTAATACTTGATTTAAAAAATATATACATTGATATGTCGCGGCAATTTTATTTTATTTTTCAGGGCTGCTCAACTTTTAGCTGAGTATAGTCACTAACCAGAGAACACATCGACTACACTAGACTTGGGTAGCTCATGAGTGAGTGAGCCAAAATGAATAGCTCACTAAACTGAACCACTCAGCTAGCTCCTTCAATATGGCTCAAACCTAAAAATCGTAACAGATCGACTCCTATTTCAGTAAATTTACCTTCAGTGCAATCTTCATCAAGCATTATGCCAAAAAACTAAATAATTTACAATCTTCTTCTCAGCTGTCTCTGATTGATCAAAATGTACGTGGCTTAAATTCTAAACTTAAAAATCTATTCTTGCACAGTTTTAGTGTACAATATGATATTATAGCATTCACTGAAACCTGGCTAAGTAATAATATCCTTTCAGTTAATTTCACTACTTATAGACTCGATCGTTTGGTGCGCAGAGGGGGTGGGGTGTTGATTGCTGTTAAACCTATTATCCTCTCTGAATTGTTTACCTTTTCGTCCCTTCATGATGCGGAGATTATAGGGGTTAAATTAACTCTCCAATCGTGCTCATTGTTTATCACATGTTCTTATATCCCTCCCTCTTCTGATGTACATGCTCAACATATTAATTGTATTAAAGAAGTTTATGAGCATGTAAATGATAGAGACTTGCTTCTTGTGTTGGGTAATTTTAATATTCCGAACACTTCTTGGTCATCAACTTGTAATGCAAATTACTTTATTCCGACAATTGATCACTATATTTTTGATGAATTGTTTAACCTGTCTATGTTTCAGATGAACTCTATTTGTAAACATCTAAATCGCACACTAGATCTTGTGTTCATTAATCATGATTCGCTCATTAATGTCGTGAGATCAACCAATTTCTGTTCACCTGAGAATATACACCACCCCACTTTAGAGGTTTTATTAACTGTTGATAATGCTCTCACTAATTGTTCACGCATGAACATATGAATATACGAAGATCGTATACATACCTCCGACGCACTCTACGACTAGCAGGTAGTGCGCTGGGAAATGATAAGGGTCACATGTACAGACTCTATAAATGGACAAATGGACAGCAACCCTTGCAACCCCAGAGTCAGTTATATAAGAGACGAACGCTGAGCCTTACAACCTCAGCGATAAGATAAGAATAGCTAATAGACCCACGCGGAGCCTTACAAACTCAGCGATAATATAAGAACATGTAATAGACCAATACTGAGCCTTACACACTCAGCAATAGACGCACTAGATTTAAGGGTTGAAATTATGCATGAGTCTGGGTATATAAACCCAGGCTCAGAAGAATAAAGATCAATACAAAACTAAACACCATCAAAGTCAAGTGTATTCGTTCATGGTCCTTCGAGCCGGAGGAAGTATTTTTAATACTTCAATTTCATCCACAAGGAAAAATGTTTGTGATTAGTACAAAGTGAAGTGCTAGTATTATAGATTTGTGCATTGGCTTTCCAACCCAAGCTGTGAGTCGAGGCACAGCAAGATCAACCTGGTGATCAAAACAATAAAACCTCCTAAACGAGATAAGCCAATGGATCTACAATAAACAAACAACTGTGTCGTCAACCATCAATATTTAAAGAGAAATATATGGTGGCATAATGACAGAAATCAGAACCAATAAAGAGTTCATGAAAGTCGAAGTTGCCGACCACGCCATAGACACAAACCAACTTTATAGTTGGGGAAACGAGACCGGAAACATCAAAGCAAGAGATGTTTTCATTTGGTTGATCGAGCCCAATGGAGGAGTTGGTAAACCTTGTGGACGAAAGAGCTCAAAGAGTACGAAATCGAGTACATAGACGAACTGAAAGTCAAAGTGTACACAGTGTCAAAAAAAAACTGGAAAGGAAATAAGTGCACTGCAAATCGTAAAAGAAGACACTCCAAAGCGACCGAAACCGACATTTCCTCACTTTAATGGAGCTCCTAACGCGTGGCCAACGTTCTTCGAGCAGCTCACCAGAATAATTCACAACAGAAAGGATATCAGCGACAAGACGAAACTGATATACCTAAAAATGTATCTCAAAGGAGAAGGTCAACGAGTTATAAGCCATTTCTCAATTGGAGTGGGTAACTACAATTCAGCGTGGGACTGTTTATGCAAACGCTACAAACGTTATTTGCCTGTGGACATGAAACTGCTGAAGGATAAGGATGAAGGCAATCCGCAATTGCGTGAGCACCTCTAATAACAGTGACAAGGTCACCGCTGATGAGATGTTAGCATATCAAGCAGCCTTGGATGCAATTGTGTTCAAAACGTGGGATGTCAACCCGCCGGCAAGTCCCCATATGGCAGGAAAAATAACTGAAGCTACTGAACAAGGTAATAAAGTTCAAGTGGTAACAACAAAACCAAATATAGGCGAAGTCAAGAGATCAATAAAAAAGATCTGGGCTCCACCAACTCCGACAAAGGATCCGGAGCGCATAGAAGATGCAGCTTCGACATCGACGTTGAGTATCACTGAAGATACATCAACAGATATCCAATTGGACCAATGGACCAATTCGACCAATGGATGATATTTCCACAGTTGGCAGCACGACGGAACAGCAAACTTCTGCGGAGACTGCAACAGCGAATGGAAGTGCAGCTGAAGAGAAAGGCGACAATACCGACTCAAACTCTCCAGTGATGACCACAGCAGCGCCACCAACAATGGAAATTAAAGCTGCAAGTACAATTACATCAGAAAACAAGTAAGAAGGCTCCAGTCGAGACTGCTCGACTAGGAGATACCCTGAACCCTCTAAGCTGATATTCTAATCATTCTGCACTTCTTTTATGCACATGCATCCACACGCACGCATAAGCCCGTGCTCTGCTAACTGCGCAGTAAGCAGCGACTGCGCTTGGGCTGCGCTGCAGTGTGGGCAATATTATGAGAATTTCTTTGTTGAATAATTTCTTTTGTAGACATACGATCTTAATGAAACTTTTAGAACGTAATCATATGGTAAATATGTGTGTACATTCCAAAGCACAAGTGCGTTTTTTGTAAATTGGGGGGAAAGGGGGCGTGGTATCCAAAATCTGTAAATGACAAAATCTTTGTATCGATTGTCTTTATATACAACGCAAATTTGAAGACTCCAGGTCTAAAAGTGTTCAAATTAGGCTAAAAAAACAAAATGAATTTTTCGATTATTCTCGATAAAAAAGTTATCGGACGATTTATCGAAAAAATAAAGCAAACTCGTACTGCGTATGGTACACACGAGTATGCATGCCAAATTTCAGCTCTCTAGCTCTTATAACTTCTGAGATCGACGCACTCATACGGACGGACGGACAGACGGACAGGGCTATATCGACTCAGCTCATCGCGCTGATCAAGAATATATATACTTTGTGGGGTCTGCCACGCCTCCTTCTGCCCGTTACATACTTTTTCACAAAACCATTATACCCTGATTTCCCATTTCCAATGGGTTCAGGGTGTAATGAGTCAATTGTAAGTAGCAGCAGCATATTAACCACTACAAGCGAAACAATAGGCACAATAAGGCATCAGCATCAACAGAAGGACATCTATCACTTGGAGGCTTTGGCCTCGGCAACAATGAAGCGATCGACAACTTCCTCAACAGATGCAATCAGCTATATTAATGCAACAAACGATGACACCTACAAGCCACAGAAGTTCTTTAAAGAGGCACGACTTCATTTGGCATGGGAACCGCCACCTGAGCAAAGGACTAAGGTGATGGTCGCATACTCGGTTTATCTAGATGTCACATTCTCTGGGCCCTGCAGAATGTTCAGGCACGAACATAAGGATTGCAAGCATGATCATTTCGTCAAGAATGTTAACAATTATTAAATTTGTATTTGTCCTGTATATTGTTAAGAAATCCACAGATAGCAGTTCTGGACATTACACACTTTGGCCCCCCGCAGAATGTTCACGCATGAACATATGAATATACGAAGATCGTATACATGCCTCCGACGCACTCTACGACTAGTAGGTAGTGCGCTGGGAAATGATAAGGGTCACATGTACAGACTCTATAAATAGACAAATGGACAGCAACCCTTGCAACCCCAGAGTCAGATATGTATGAGACGAACGCTGAGCCTTACAACCTCAGCGATAGGATAAGAATAGCTAATAGACCCACGCGGAGCCTTACAAACTCAGCGATAATATAAGAACATGTAATAGACCAATGCTGAGCCTTACACACTCAGCAATAGACGCACTAGATTTAAGGGTTGAAATTATGCATGAGTCTGGGTATATAAACCCAGGCTCAGAAGAATAAAGGTCAATACAAAACTAAACACCATCAAAGTCAAGTGTATTCGTTCACTAATACTCCTCTGCCTTCTAAACTTAGTCGCTGTTATCGTAAATGCAATTTTGTTTTGCTCAGCGAATTAATTCATTCAACAGACTGGTCTCTTTTATATGAGTCGGTTGATATTAATTGGGCAGAATAGTTTTTTTATACCACCTTAAACTCTATTCTGGATGTTTGTGTCCCTCTCTGCCGTATTTCGCCGGTTTCAAATAAGCCACCTTGGTTTACCAAGTCTTTTTCGACCTTAAGAAACATTAAAACTAAATGTTTTAAAAATTTTAAAAAGTCTGATTCAAGTTTTGACTGGTCTAAATATTCCATTGCCAAGTCAAATTTAAATCTTTTAAATTCTAGTTGTTATGAGAACTATCTTATACGTTGCAAACGTAAGTTTTCTCGAGATCCTAAACAATTTTACTCATTTGTAAACTCAAAGCTTAAATCTTCTGGTTTGCCGTCCTCATTTGTCCTTGGTGGTGAAAAAACTTGCAATGACCAGGATTCCTCTGATCTATTTGCAAATTTTTTTCAATCCACTTATTCTTCTGCTGATCTCTACAGCAATTCATATCCATATTCACTTCCTGAATATGGGTCTATAAATACTCCTAAAGTTACTGCAGCCTCTCTGACTGCAGCCATTAGGACATTGAAATCATCTTTCTCTCCCGGTGCCGATAATATTCCTAGTTGTGTGATTAAAGAGTGTAGTGTTTCTCTTCAGTCACAACTACTAAAATTGTTTAACTTGTCCTTAGATACTTCTGTGTTCCCTTTAATTTGGAAAGAATCTTTCATCATTCCCCTTTATAAAAAAGGTGGAAGATCTAATATTTCCAATTATAGAGGCATTGCGAAATTATCTGCTATTCCGAAGTTATTTGAGAAAATTTAACATCGGCCTTGCAGCATTTTTGCAAATCGATTATTCAACCATATCGACGAGCTGAGTCGATTTAGCTCCGTCCGTCCGTCCGTCTGTCCGTATGTTTGAACGCGTCGATCTCAGAAGATATAAGAGCTAGAGACTTGATTTTTTTATTCAAGTTTTGCATTAAATATCGATAACTTGCCCCGTTATTTTGTTACCGATTAGAAACATTATCGAAAACTAGTAATAAATTTATGTCTCCTATATGCATTTTATAGAATTTTGGTTTTTGTCAAAATTTACCCCCCACAAATTGATTAGCGGTGACATTGATTCGTCCTCTTT